GCTTTAGATGATGACTTAACTTCTCTTACCTTCATGATAATCATTAGCCTCCTTATGAGCCCTTGCAAGTCAAAATGACCAACTTCTCCATGAAATGGTTTTTGTATGATGAACCAAGGATACCAGTTTCCTTATTCATTTCTCCAAAGAGAATTTGTGAGCATAAAAATGTCAACATAGATATGTGGTGCTCATCTCACTGGACAAAGATTGAGTATCGGATATCCATAGTTAAATCTATTGTTGTTGAGTTGTTTTCAGTTGGGTCCAGCTCTTTGTTATCCTATTTGAGGTTTTCTTGGCAAAGATATTGAAGTAGCTTGCCATTTCCTTCTGCAGCTTATTTTACAAATGAGGAAACTGAGACAAACAGGGTTAAGTGACTTGCCCAGGGTGACACAGTAAGTCTGAGGCCAGAATTGAACTCAGGAAGATGAGTCTTCGTGACTCCAGGCCAGGCTTTCTATCTGCTGTACTACATTGGTGCCCCAAATCTATTTGTAGAACCTCTGAAAAACTAATTCTTAGAATCCACTGCTCCCTCAAAAGCAGAAGGGAGAGTTGCAGGAATGAAGGCTATTTTTATTTTGTCCTGTTTGTTGGTGACCATGGCCAAAGAAGTTCTCATCTAGTAATATTCAACATTCTTGGGCCCTCTCTACTTGAATACTTTGGTCCTGAGACAGTACAAACTGTTGGTTGTTAGACCTGCACACGGTGGTTTCTGTTTGGCTAGAAGTTGCAAGAGCTTGTACTTGACCTTACTAGTCACTTCCACACTAGAGTGAAATGTGGGAATAGGACTTTATATACAAATGACTATGGAAATAAATACACTATGACATTCTCAAGTTTCATAAACCTGATTGGAAATCCTGATAAAGAACACAAATTTCCAGAGGAATAATAAATGTCAAACAAAAGGCAAAGTTGTATGTCGGTCATTGTTATAATTATGGGGGACTAACACATCTTCTACAGTGTGAGAATCATCATGTTTCCCCTGACTAGACTTGAGTAAGCTGTGTTCCTTTTAACCTACACTTAGCTACTTTTTCTTTTTTTTTTGGTATGTTGCATTTTAAACTTAAGAAATGATGATGATCATAGTACTGAAATGAAAGCCAAATTCATCTATCTGCTCAATGCCTGGAAAAATACAAGATTCTTTTTAGTGATAAAGAAAAATCTGAATCTCACAAGGATGGATGATTGGAATAATTTTAACCAAGTTAGGTATGTGAAAATTTGTTAAAGATTAATTCACTCTGCTCAGAAGGGTGATTATATTCAGAGTGCTTTTTAGCTTTTCTTTAATACTAGATTCACTCCAATGGTGAAGGACTCTTTGTTGCCCTTTTCTCCTGACAATACATCAATACTGTAAGTGAAAAAATGTCAAGGAAATCAGCAAGCATTTATTAAGTGACTACTATATGCCGGGAACTGAAGATACAAGGACAAAAGTGAACCTATCCCTTACCTCAATGAGCTTATATTTTTTTGGGCGCGACAATATCTAAGTATATAGAAATACAAGGTAATTTTTGAAAGAGGAGGCATTTGCACTTGGGAGGCATTGGGGGAAGTTTTGACCTACAAGGTAGGACATGAGCTATGTTTTGAAGGAAAATAAGGATCTTAAGAGACAGAAGAAATGAGGAAACAATGCATTCCAGTCATGGGGACAGTATGTGCAAAGGCACAGAGATTCGGAGCTACATGATAGCCGCTTTGGCTAGACCAAGGAGTATGTGAAGAACAATGTAAAAGCAATGTATAAGTCTGGAAGGATAGGTTGAGACCAGGTTATAAATGGATTTCAGTGCCAAACAAAGGAATTTGAATTTGCTCCTAGAAGTAATATGGAGCTACTGGAGTGTGACTAAGGGAGTGGCATGGTTAGACCTGTACTTCAGGTAAATCATTTCAGCAGATTTTTAGAGGAGAATCTGGAAGAAACTGTTGTCAGGAGAGTAATTAGGCTATTGCAATAATCTAGGTGGAAGATAAGATCCTGAATAAGAGTTATGGTTCTGTAAGTAGAGAGAAGAGCATAGTTATGAGAAATATTATAGAGGTAGAAACAAGGCTTTGCAACTGTTTAGATATGAAGGTTGTAGGAGAGAAAGGGGTTTTGAGCTTGGGAGACTGGAAAGTTCAGGGTAGCCTGGACAAATAGGGAAGTCTGGCAGAGGGATGGGTTTTGGAGAAAAGACAATGAATTCTGTTTTTGAGCATGTTAGATTTGAGATGTTTATGGTATGTATAGCTTGCAATTTCCATTAAGTAGTTGATTTAAGGTTGGAACTCAGGAGAGAGACTTGGGCTGTATATAGATCTGGAAGTCATATGCATAGAAAGGATAATTAGATCCATGAGAACTGATAAAGTCATCAAGTGAGAAAATATAGGGAAAGAAGTAAAGGAACCCAGAACAGAATTTTGGGATATACCCATAATTCCTAAAATTGCCATGTAACTATGACTGACATATATTCAATTGATCTGAAAACCAACTTGTGCCCTAACTCTCTCCTTAGCTATGTTACCCTGAGCAAGTCCATTAACCTCTCTGAAAAGTAATTTGTTGTTCACTTGTTCCAGTTATGACTGACTATTTGTGACCCCATTTGGGGTTTTCTTGGCAAAGATACTAGAGTGGTTTGTCATTGCCTTCTCCAGAAAGTAGCTTACTTTTGTGCAAAATGGAGATAATAGTTGCATTACCTATTTCACAGGCTGCTTATTAAAGAAAGTACTTTGTAAAGTTATGGGCATGATCTGTCAAGCAAGACTTTGGTCCATATCATGCCACTGACCCTTAAAATATGCATCTTGGGCAATTCTATGCTATGTCTGTGTTGTCATCTGTAAAACTGGTATAATAACATTTACCTCACAACCTTGGTGTGACATCACATGATATAATGTATGTGAAGCACTTTGCAACCAGCACTATATAAATGCCAACTTTTCTTATTACTTGTACTTGTGTTAATTGGCCGTTCGTTGAGACTGATTCTGTAACAAAGGTCATCTTCAAAACATCCAAATGAGTGTGTACCTCTAAAATGATACCCTTGGGGTGTTTAAACCCCCAAATTCAATGAAAAATTATATACATGTATATGTATACATACATACGTGTGTGTGTGTGTGTGTGTGTTTTAATACTATAATGTTATTACCCTTGCCAAGCAATTTTAGAACTCTGGATCAGTGGTGTCAAAGAGAAGTGGGGGCCACTGAACCATACATAAGCATCCCTATGGGCTACATATTGACTCAGAAAACCACACATTAACATTATCTATTTTTATTAATTTTGTTAATTATTTCTCAGTTGCATTTTAAATGGTTCAAGTGCACTGGGAAGTGTGTGGGCTGCCTGTGGCTGTGTGTTTGGCCCCTCTGCTTTGGATTATCTTCAGATACAGTTTAGCAGCTACATGAAAACAAACTTCATTATTTGATAGTCACTTTGGGGAGTGGGGAGTGGGGAAAGTCTTGGACAACCAAAAATAATGGTTATCCATTCTTATTTACCAGTCATTGCTAGTACTTTGGCCACATAATGACAAGATGGGACTCGGAAAAGACCTTGACATTGAGAAAGATTGAAGGCAAAAGGAAAAGGGAATGGCAGAGCATGAATTGGATTGATAAGATGGAAACAACAAATATGAACTTGGAAAGATATATATATATATATACACACACACATACACACACACACACACACACACACACACACACAGATATACATATATACAGTGAAGGGCCTGGAATCTGGAATGCTGTAGTCCATGGGCTTATGAAGATTTGGACACAACTGAACAACAAAACAAAATTACAACCTACTTCTAAAAAAGTGTACACACACACACACCTAAAAGATAAGATTGAATGGTATTATGAGTATTTAAAAGAATGTGCCCTAGATTCTGGAAGCAGTTCCACAAAAATGTTCTCATAAACATACACAGACAATCTAATTAGAATAAAGTGTATTGTGTCCTAAGGCTATTTTGAAGGGAAAGCATTCATTTATTTGGATGTGTGAGTTTTTTGTAGTTGGTTTTAGTTTAGTAGTTTTTAGTTGTTTGGTTTTATGTTCAACCCCACCCTAAATAATATTCAGTTCATATTTTACTTGTACTATGTGAGGTGATATAGTCCTTTCTTTACCCTTGCTTTGCAAGTACTTTTAATACTCCAGATCTGTGTGACTTTAGTATAGATGCTGACTTCAACTCCTATGCACTTTATCTTCTAGGAGACTTGTGAACATGTTAACTCTAAATCCCTCTTAGAGGATTCCCTCTGTGCATTGACAGTCTTACCCTTGACTCTTTGGATGTCTGAGGAACCCTGATGTAATACTTAGATTTGGAATGTTTGGAACTCACTTCTGCTCTGCAAAAGCCATTTTTATTATTCCTTATATTGTGTTTAGCTCAGTATTGGTGCTTTCCTTCATACTTGGAAATAAATTTGAGAGACAAAGTAAAGGTCAGGCTCTGGGTTTACATAGTTCTACATGTATGAATAGGGTTAGCTAGATAGCTCAGTGGAAAGAGAGCTAGGCCTGGAGTCAGGAAGACTCATCTTCCTGAGTTCAAATCTGGCCTCAGACACTTAGTAGCTGTGTGACCCTGGGCAAGTCTCTTAACACTGTTTGCCTCAGTTTTCTCATCTGTAAAATGAGCTGGAGAAGGAAATAGCAAACTACTCCAGTTATCTGTCAAGAAAATCCCAAATGAGGTCATGAAGAGTTGGACATGACTGAAACAATTGAACAACAAATAACAAGAACATGAGACTAGCCAGAGTAGGCTCGCCAGAGCAGGCTGTTTGGTCTTAAGTGCTTTCCACCTAGCCTCCTGCTTCATATCCTTTAGCTAAAGACTAAATATAAGACTGACTTAGTGATCAAAGAATTAAGGAACTTTATTTAAAAAAAAAAGAAAAAGTATTACCTTAACTCTAATTCACAGGTTTGCATCTTGAGAAAGGAGTTTCAGCCTCCCGATATGGAGCCTCTGAAGTTGAAGATATGGGGAATGTTATTCTAACAATGATTTCAGAACCATACAGTAAGCACAACTTTGGAAACAGTGGATGTCCACAGATAACTCCCCCTAGTCTCCCCTTCCCCACCTCCTTCCCCTACCTGGGCCCCTTGTCTTCTGTCTCTCTTGTTCTAGTTAAAAATCATGGTGTGTATTTACCTCTTTTGTAGATCACAGGTTTTCAGATCCAGAGAGAGTGAATTACAAATTTGAAAGTGGAACTTGGTAAGTAACCAAGTCATACTGTTCTGAGGCTTTTGTCTTGAATCTTTCTTTTCTTTCATTTGGATTCTTTGTTTTTTCCACTTAAATCTAATTTGATAGTGCTCTGGGGTTTGGAGAAGGGAAGACTTACTTTCCTACAAATAAATCTATTGTTCCTACCTCCATGTAGTCCTCAAGTATATGCAGTGACAACTAAATTCACTAAGCATTTCTTAACTGCCTACTTGTGTATAGAGCATGTGGGTGCTTTATATTAACTACTAGAAAAGATTCAGAATTTAAATAACAGTACCTGCCCTCATGGAGCTTATAGTCTAGCAGAAGAAGAAGAAGACTTACACGTGGCCAATACTATATAAGAGCATTTGTTATTACCATGTGGTACAAAACAAACTACTTGGGGGGGCCTTATTGGTAGAGCATCAAGGAACAATCATTTCATGGAGGAGGTTGCATTTGATTTGGACTTGCAATGTGTTACTCCCTGCTCTTACTTTGTAAATAATGAGGACCTGAAGTTGCTTTGCTATATGTCCCTAGATGCCTTGTTTTGAGGTACTTATGAATAACAAAACAAGAGAGAACAGTTTGTATTCTTGTAAAAAGTGACAAGTTTTTTAGAATATTTAATGACTTTTACCTTCCCTGACATGATGGTGGTATTATAACTATGTTTTGTCTGACATGTAGTTAATGCTTGAAAGTCTACAAGTCACTTTGCATATATGTCATTTCATTGGTGGTAGTGCAAGTCTTAATCCCATTTTATATATAAGAAACTGAGACTTAGATCAAGCAGCTTGCCTGAGGTCTCTTTAGGTTTTGGTAGATAGGCGTGAGAAAAAATAGCATTGGTAGGAGATAGCAGCCCTATTGCGGTACGTACTTGTAGACTTCATCTCCAATATTTTATTTAGTTCTAAAAGTGTGACTTTAAAAGATGTATGAACAACTAGAAGCCATCCAAGGGGAGATAACCAAGGTCTAGACCAGAAGTCTTTTGTGAAAACATGCCATGTAAAAAAAAAAAAAGAGACCCTAGAGATGATTATCCTGGAGAAGAGAAGACTTAGGGGGAAACCTAACACATGTCTTCAAATATTTGGAAAGCTATCATGTGGAAGATGGATTAAATTTTAATTTAACAAGTATTTATTAAGTGATTGTACAAGACATGATGTACTAGGAATACAAAGTTGAAAGAGCAAGTACGTCAGTTTTATAGGGGCTTGGGGGGGAGGTGGAGAATGGGCAGAATGTAGAAGAACATAAATATTTTTGCTGTTCAATTGTTTTCAGTTGTGTGGGTTTTCTTGGCAAAGATACTGGAGTGGTTTTGCTGTTTCTTTCTCCAGCTCATTTTACAGATAAGGAAACTGAGGCAAACAGGGTTAAGTGACTTGCCCAGGATCACTCAGCTAGTAAGTGTCTAACGTCAGATTTGAACTGAGGAAGATTAGTTCCTGATTCTAGGCCTGGCATCCTATCCACTTTGCTACCTCGCTGCCCTATACATAAATATATGATAAGGTTAAATGTGTTATAGGTAGAGAGATACAAACTATAAGAATATATAATACATAATACAACATATAATATACTATAAGAATATTTTAGGAGTGAAATTACTTGTAGTGATTAGAATGCAGGTTCCCTGAAGGCAGGGACTGGTTTTATCTTTCATTGTATCCCTAGCACTTAGTATAGTGCTTGACTTGTAGCATTAACAAATGCTTGTTGATAGGCCAATTTGGAGGGAAGAAGATGGGACCTAATCAGTAGAGAGTATGTTGTGGCAGTGTATTCCAGGCAGGAGGGATGTTATGCTCAAATGCATGGAGGGGGGAGAGTGAAAGATGAGATCAGAGAAGAACAGTTAGTCCAGTTCAGCTGAAACACTGCATTTGAGGGAGTAGTGTGAAATAAGAATGGGTAAGTTGGAGCTAGTTTCTAGAGGACCTTAAATAACTGCCTAAAGGAGAGTAACTACTCAGGGTTTTTGAGTAGGCAAGTGATAGGGTCAGACCCCTCCACATTAGGAAGATGAATTTGATAATTAGAAAGAGGGAGAAATTAGACCTTGGAGACCAGTTAGAAAGGTATAGAAGAGTCAGAGCAAGAGTTAATAAGGACTTGAATTGAGGTGGTAAAATGCAGTGTGAGGGAAGGAATACGGAAAGATATGAAAGACATTGTAGGAGTAATTTGGCATGACTTGGCAAGTGCTTGGCACTGGAGAAAGAAGCAGAAGAAAAAGCCAAAGATAATTTCTAAGATCCTTGCTATGACAGTGGATAGAACTATGGTAGAAGTTTATAGGGAGGTAGAGTCCAGCTTCAAGGTATCCAGAAATGCAACAAACTACCTTGGCAAGTAATGCAATTTCTTAAGTCATTGAAGATACTGAAATAAAGATTGAATGACTTTTGGTGGGTGTTGTCACCAAGATTCATTCTTTGGATAGAGTCTATACTACCTCTGAGGTCTGATCTCTTCTAAGCTTAGTGAAATTGTAGAGATGATTCTTCTCTTGTATGAACCTTCCCTGGCTACCTATTCCTGAATGAAAAATAAAAACAGGAATAGAAAAATCACTAAATACTACAACTGGATTTTAATGAGAGAAAGATCTGAAACCTTCCAGGCTCACAGTCAACATTATTTAGTGCTTTATAAGTTGTTACTATTTCACAAAGGAAATAGTTATTTCCTGAGTTTCTTTGCTTGGTATTTAAAGGCCTCTACAGTCTCACTCTCACCTACTTTTCTAGTCTTATTTCATATTTTCCCCCCTTTATTCAATTTCCATTTAAGCCAAACTAGCCTGCTGGCTATTCCCTCTTCCACATCATGCTATTTTCTTCTTCTGTGACTTTGCATAAGTGGCCCTCCACGTCTGGACTTTTTACCTCCTCCTTATAAAATCCATATCTTCTCTACATCACCACTGAGTATTCACCTCCTATCTGAAGCCTTCCCTGGTTTTTCTCTACATGTTTTTGCCCCTCCAGTTGCCACATTCCTTCCCTATTGAAATACCTTGTATTACTTTTTATATAGTTAATATTACTTATCTAAATAACATGTTGAATTCACCCAGTAGGTGTGAACTCTTTAGGCTAGGAGGGACTGTTCTTTTTGTCTTCTGTCCCAAGTGCCTAGAACAGTAGTATGCTTAATAAATGCTCATTAAATTGAAAGTGAAGGGGTGGCATTTCCTCTCTATATTCAAAGCACTGGCAAGAATATTTAATTAGTAATTCAGAAATGAGCTAAAGAGGGACAAAGTGCATGAGGCCACAAAGGTACTTGAAGGGAATAGAAACTTCTGAAATTTTCTTTCTGCTTTGGTCCAAAAATCATTCATGAATAAGTATTTTCCTATTCCTTTGCAGTTTAGCTATGTCAGGTGGTGATCTCCTGGGACAATGTCTTAGGACTTAGGAGAAATGTGAGCATGTGAGGAATCAAGCATGCAAAGTTAATAAAACACATAATGAATGATTTCCTGGTGATTCATTATAGGAAAACAGGGAGTTCCACCTTCCCTATATACTTGTGAGGAGACACATTTAGGTGTGTGCCTCAGTTTTAGTGTTGAGCATCAGTTTGTGGGGGGTTTTGTTTGTTTTTTTAATAGTATTCTATTTTTTTCAAATTAAATGTAAAAACAATTTTAATATTCTTTTTTTTAATAAGATTTTGAGTTCCAAATTTTTCTCCCTCCCTCCTTCTCCTCTCTCCTCCCTAAGACATTAAGCAGTTTGATACAGGTTATGTATGTACAATCATGTAAAACATATTTCCATATTAGTCATGCGAAAGAAAAAACAGAACAAAAGGAAGAAAACTATGAAAAATAAAGTGAAAATAGTTTGTTTCAATTTGCATTCAGATTTCTTTCTCTGGGTGTTGATAACATTTTCCATCATAACTCTTTTGGAATTGTCTTGGATCACTGCTGAGGAGAACTAAGTCAATCATAGTTGATAATTGCACAATTTTTAAAAAAATTATTGTTTTGTTTTTTATTTTGGCTAGGCAATGGGGTTAAGTGACTTGCCCAGGGTCACACAGCTAGTAAGTGTCATGTGTCTGAGGCCGCATTTGAACTCAGATCCTCCTGAATCCAGGACTAGTGCTGTATCCACTGTACCACCTAGCTGCCCCCTAAAAATTTTTTGGAAAACAACAAGCATTTCCATATTATATAATAAAAAGATGACTGCACATGAAAACTATAAATATGTACAACTTGCTACTCCTTTCAAATATTCAATGAAGGCATCATGTTTCTTTTTTTTTATCCTCTCCCCATGGCCACCATTAGACACAAATAGGTGTGTGTATGTTTATATGTGTAGGTATACATTCTTTTATTTATCAGTTCTTTATCTAAATGCAGATAGTCTGTTTTCATATGTCTTTTATAGTTAATTTGGGTATTTATAATACTCAAAATAACTTATTCACTCAAAGTCATTCTTAAAAAATAATGTTTCATTCTGCATTCAGACTTCATCAGTTCTTTTTCTGGAGGTGGATAGCATTTTTCATTGTGAGTTCTTTGGTATCATCTTGGATTATTGCATTGCTGAGAATAGTTAGGTCATTCACAGTTGATCATCATACAATATTTCTGTTACTGTGTACAATGTTCTCCAGGTTCTGCTCACTTCACTTTGCATCAGTTATAGTTTTCCTAATGTTGAACCAGCTTTGCATTCTTGGAATAAATCTCACTTGGTCATAGTGTATGATTCTTGTGCTATACTGCTGTAATCTCCTTGCTAGTATTTTATTAAAATTTGTTGCATCAATATTCATTAGAGAAATTGGTCTATACTTTTCTTTGTATTCACTCTTCCTGGTTTGGGTATAAGCATCATATTTGGTGGTGTTTTTTGTTTTTTTTTTTAATATTTTATTTAGGGGTCAGCTAGGTGGCATAGTGGATAGAGCACTGGCCCTGGATTCAGAAAGACTTTAGTTCAAATCAGGCCTCAGACACATAACACTTACTAGTTGTGTGACTCTGGGCAAGTTATTTAACCCCATTGCCTAACCAAAAAAATTTTTTTTTAAATTTTCCCCCAATTACACATAAAGACAATTTTAACATTTTTTTAAATTTTGAGTTCCAAATTTTCTCTCTTTCTTTCTTCTTCCCTAAGACAGTAATCAATTTTATCTAGGTTATAAACATGCAGTCATGCATAACATATTTCCATGTTAGTCATATTGTCAGAACCGTATTTGTATCATAAAAGGAATTTAGTAGGACTGCTTCTTTGCCAATTTTTCCAAATAATTTATGTAGTATTGGAATTAATTGTTCTTTAAATGTTTGGTAGAATTCACCTGTTAATCCATCTGGCCCTGGATGGTGCTGGGGGAGGGGGGGAGGCAGGGGTGTTTCTTAGGGAGTTCATTATTAGCTTGTTCAATTTCTTTTTCTAAGATGGGGCATTTATGTAATCTATTTAGTCTTCTGTTAATCTGGGCAATTTATATTATTGTAAAGATTCATCCATTTCACTTAGATTGTCAGATTTATAGGCATATGGTTGAGCAAAATATCCCCTAATTATTACTTTGATTTCCTCTTCATTATTGGTGAATTCACCCTTTTTATTTTTGATCCTGGTCTAGCGGTTTGTTTCTTTTTTAGGATGAGGAGACATGGGCATGTCTGTAGGTAGCAGGACAGGAGCCAGCAAATTGAGAGATTAAAATTTAGAATGTTACTTAATAATGAGTAGAATTTGCTAGAGGAGACTGGATAGAATAGGATCAAAGGTGCATGTAGCAGGGTTTGCCTCAGCAAGAAAGACTGCCTTGCCTCAGACACTTGACATTTACTAGCTGTGTGACCCTGGGCAAGTCACTTAACTTGCCTTACCAAATTGCCTCACCAAAAAAAAATAAAAACAAAACAAAACAAAAAAGATGACTACCTTTTCTCCCAAGATCTCTATGAATGAGCATATGGAGGAGGAAGATGTCTGAATGATGTGAGATAAGGAAGAGGGGAGAAAGAGAAGCTCTTGGTGAATAATCTGAAATTTTTTGTTGAGGTGAAGTCTTCAGCTGAGAGAGAAGGGGAGGGGATGCTTTGGAAGGATTGAAGAGAGAAGAGAATGTTTGTAATGGCCACTTGGAGAGTAGGATAGTGAATGGAGTAAGAAAGAACAGAATGGTTATCTTGCTACATTGAGGGACCTGTTGACATTAGATAATATAAATTTCCAATAGGCCCAGACAGCATGGTTTTGTGATTTCCTCCAACTCCATTCAGGAGCATGTGAATAGGAGGAAAGGAGGTGGATCAAGGGTTGGAACTTAGAAAAGTGTGATCAGTGATAGGACAGGGGGGCAAGAGATAGCACAAGGGTTGAGGAGAGCATGAGCTTGAGTTAGTTCACCAAGGGGTCATTAGGGAAGGGAACAGAATGTATTCAGTGCAGGGTGTAATGGCTTGGGAAAGAACTGGGAGGAAGGGGAGAATGGAGGTCATGGTGAGGATAAAAAATATGGTTAAGGGTTATAAGCTATCAGGAAAGATGAAATGATAAAAGATTATGATCAGAAAAGGGAATTTCAGAGTTCTTGAACAAGGAAAAGGAACACTTGTGGTTAATGACAAGGTCAAGGGTATGACCATCTGTGTGTAGTTAAGTTGGAATGGAAGAATAGATCATGTGAATTGTAAATTGAGTAGATTGAGGAACTGGGAAGCTTTAGGGTATTTGAAGGGATGTTAGTATCTCTGCTGCAGTCCCCTAGTGCAAGAACAGGCGATGAGGAGGAGAAAATAATTATGATCCTGGCACTGAATTTAATGAGGAAAATCTGTATTAGGTGATAAATTGTGATAGTGTGAATCTCAAAGGAAGACAGGTTGCTTAGTAAAGGTGGATTCAAGTGTCATTAGGAAGAATAATCAGACTCCCCCAATTCAAGTGAAGAGATATGATAGAAAGTATAACCTGTACAGGAAGGGGTGGTTGGAGGGAAAAAAATGTCATCCAGGGGAAGCTGTGTCTCAAAGGTGGACATAATGATAAAGAAACAGGTTTAAGATGAAGGGAAGCTGCTTTATTATTTAGCAAGCATTCCAGAAGACACAGTGGAGAGGTAAGCAGATGGGGAGTGCCCCATTGGAGGGGTAAGATGGAGGACAGAGAAGAGGGTTTGTACATTAGCAGCTTGGAGTTTGGAATCACTATGTGTAAGGGGATGGGACTATGCAACCCTGGAGCAGTGAATCTAGGCAGAATCACAGTGATTGGAGAGAAGTTTATCAAGGGAGGCATAAGATTAGAATGAGGTCTTTCTAAGAAGTTCACCCTCTTGGTAGATGGTGATTTATTCTGTGAGACTGCTTATATCAGGCAGGAAACAGGTAGTCAGGAAGACAGGAGTATCTTACTTGTTGTGGAAGAGGCCCTGTGGGGTGGAGAAGGAGATGGAAAAGGTTTTGTCCACAGAGGACATCCCTTAGCTTGATGCAATCCTGGGGCAGGGACCCATAATGGTGAGAATTGGGCAGCACTCCAGAAGGTTGATTCAGGGAGGAAGAGAGTCTTTCCCCCAGCTGGCATGCCCAGGCTCTGGATTTGACCCTGACTTACAGCTCCAGACAACACTGCATTTAAAAACTATCATGTATGCTGACAAGAACTCAGAAATGTACTTGAAGTCTGGTAGTCTACTTCTGGAAGTACCCTAACCTAGAACTGGCAGAAAATCATTTAAATTATTTTTGTACAGCAGATCCTCTAGTTAAATATAAGCCCCTTGAGAGTAGATACAGGGCAGCTAGATGGTGCAGTGGATAGAGCACCAGCCCTGGATTCAGGAGGACTGAGTTCAAATCTGGCCTCAGACACATAACACTTACTAGCTGTGTGACCCTGGGCAAGTCACTTAACTCCATTGTCTAGCCAAAAAAGATAGAGTAGCTACAGTGCAGGAAGAAAATTTAATGTGGTTCCCCCACTCAAAGACAATTGGAATGAGGGAACTTGCTATCTTAGAAATGTGTAGGCAGCTCCTGTGATCCACAAAGGCTAAGAGAGCATTGAGCCCTGCCTCTGTTATTGTGTATGTGATGTACTGTTACCATCTACTGAAATCTGAGCCAATAATGACTAATACATTGAAGCACAAAGACCAGAAATTTGCTGAAGGGGAATGTCTGAAATTCTTCTGTTTATATGAAAGTATCCAGGGGAGATGGTGGGGAAGATGAGAGGCAATGATGAATTTTGGAAGTATCTAAGTGTCCTTACTTGCTCCACAGCAGCAAGATGGAACTGGTGGATGATAACACTATAGTCAGGGCAAGAGGCTTGCCATGGCAGTCATCAGACCAAGATATTGCAAGATTCTTCAAAGGCCTTAACATTGCCAAGTAAGTTTTCTTTAAAATAACTCCAACAGGATATAATGAATTAGATTACCTTTTTTCATTCTCCCATTTAATTCTTTCTTCTCCTTTGTCAGCCATCTTCTAATAATTTTCTTTTTTTTTTTTGTAATCCTTGTAGGGGAGGTGCTGCCCTTTGTCTAAATGCACAGGGTCGAAGAAATGGAGAAGCACTGGTTAGGTTTGTGAGTGAGGAGCACAGAGATCTTGCACTACAGAGGCACAAACACCACATGGGGAATCGGTACATTGAGGTATGCCTCAGCAATCAAAGTCTCTCCTGAGTCCCCCTGAGTAAAGACTGAGTGGCTATGTGATGGTGCATTCAAAAACTTTGACTATAATTTCTTTATCTTTGCTTTAGGTTTACAAAGCAACAGGTGAAGATTTCCTTAAAATTGCAGGTGGTAAGTCACTGTTCTGTGATCTTGTTATAGTGGTAAGGAAGAGACTTTTAATAGCTAAAATTCTAAAACTCTACTATTTGTCTTAAATTACTCATTTTTTTTCTCTTGATGTGATTTTAGATTCCATGCATAATTTTTAAAATTTTTAAATGTACTTATTCCTATAAGGGCTAAGACTCACAAATATTGTAAACATTCAAGCTCCACCCCACCTCATATTGTTTTGTTATATTCATGTTTATCTTTTAATTCTAAACATGAAATTGCTGGTGACATAGTGCTAGGCTTGGAGTCAAGAAGACCTGAGTTCAAATTTTGCCTCAGATACTTACTAGTTGTGTGACCCAGGGCAAATCATTTAACATCTGTTTCTCATAATTTCCTCAATTGTAAAATGATGATAATAATAGCACCTACCTCCCAGGGTTATTGTGAAGATCAAATGAGATAATATTTGTTTTAAAAAAAAAAGCACTTAGCAGTATTTAGTGCGTAATAGGTGCTACATAAAGTCTTCTACAAAGCAAGATAGAGAATTTGGAGAAAAGGGAAGAAGTCACTGGTATTAGTGACCATAAACAGGTATTTGGAAGCATCAAATGATATAATATCTGTGAATTGAACATCTTGAAGCACTGTGGAAGGTCAGGAAGGAAATAAGCATCTGTTAAGTGCTTACTATGTGCCAGGTACTGTGTTAAGTACTTTACAAATATTACCTCATTTGATCCTTACAATAACCCTGCAAAGTTGTTCCTAGCTATTATGATGCATATTTTGCAGTTGAGGGAACTAAGGCTGACAGAGGTTAAGTGACTTGCCCAGGATCACAATTAGTGTGTGAGGCTAGATTTGAATTCACATGTTCCTGACTCCAGGCCCAGTATTCCATCTACTGTGCCACCTGAGTGCCTATAAAGTAGGCAATATAATTATCACTACAAAAGTGACCTAATCTTTTTTTTTTATTTTGTATTAAAAAAAATTATCTCAGCCTACAAAGGAGGAGGTTGCCAACTCTTTAGTCTTGTGATTCTTAGGACAAAGGAAAAAAGAACTACCTTCTGATAAAGTGGAATTAAAAGTTCATTTACAAGTCTCCCCTTAGAGAGGTTAAAACAAAAGATTAAGGTTAGGCAAATGATCATTAGATCATAGATCTGAAGCTGTAAAGGGACCCCAGAGACCAAACAAAAAAGGAGAGACCACAAGGATCTGTAGTTGCTCTGATCTATTTCTGATTAATATCAACACTTAATTTAAATGATCTGAAGTCACTGAATGAAGGAAAGCACAGTGATGAAAGAAAGGAAATGTATTCTTTCCAGTGTTTTCCTTGGTGAACAAGGGGCATGTGCTATAGTCTGAAAGGTATAGGAAAGTGTGACCCTTCACTCTTATCAGTAGTGTACAGCTTTAAAACCTTAAAAGCACCACGATAGTTGCAAAATGCTGAGACTTCCTACCTGTCCTTCCAAGATTTATGGCTTTTATTTTGTTGAGTGCTGAGAAAGGTGGAGAAGTGAATCTAATGTGCTTCCAGGACTGAGTTGACATAGGAGTGTGAGGTCAAAGGACTCTGAAAACATAGCTAAAAGGTTTCTGCTATGTTTTAGATCCCCCATGGAAATGTCTTGCAACTCTAAGGTTTCAAAGGAGGACCCTCAAATACCTTTATCATAGATGCCCCTTCTCTCATTCAGACAGCGTACTGAAGGCTAGAGTTGGGTTCCCCTATAGTAGTTTGATGTATTATAAAAGAAAAAAAAATCCGTATTTTCCCATAGGAGGAGGAAAGGATGGGACTACAATTTTTGTCTTTCAATACTAATGAGATACGGGGCCATAATCTTATTTTATCTATAGGCCCCCAGACTCTATGAACTTCACACTCTAGGTATATGGCAAAGAAGATAGACACCTTTAATCTCTGTTGAGATTTCTTGATGTGATGCTATATGCTAGAAGGATCTATCTATTCTTGGGAAGGTCCCCTCAGCTTCTTGAGTGTTACACCATCCCCTCTTTAAAATGAGGGGATTGGGGGCAGCTACATGGCCTACTGGATAGAGCACTGGCCCTGGATTCAGGAGGACCTGAATTCAAATCCGGCCCCAGACACATAACACTTACTAGCTATGTGACCCTGGGCAAGTTACTTAATCCCATTGCCTAGCCAAAAAAAAAAAAAAAAGTAGAAAAAAAATAAAATGAGGGGGTTGGACTAAGTGACTTCTGAGGGGCCCTTCCAGCTCTTAGATGTATGAACTGACTTGAATGTCAGGGCTGGACTGTTAGGAGGAGCTGGATCTAGCAGGTGTTTCTCTTGAAGAGGAGAGTCAAAGGGAAAGGGACTGGTTATAGTAGGTTTTCCTGAAGGCAATATTCCTGAATTGGAGAGTTATATTGGTGATGAATAAAGAAACCCTGGGAGAAAGCATGAGTAGGAGAGGGTTTTTTAAAGAGGAAGCAGAAAGTCAAAATCCTAGGATATTGTCTGCAGAAGATCCAGCAAAAAATTTGGAAATAATTATGGATTTCAGGTATTTCCTGAAATTTTTCCCTCTTCGTTTTGGTGAATTTGAAGTCCTTTGTCCTTTTCCTTTTCTGTGCATCGGTTCTCTAGGTACTTCCAATGAAGTAGCACAATTCTTGTCCAAAGAGAATCAGGTCATTGTCCGAATGCGAGGACTCCCCTTCACTGCCACAGCAGAAGAAGTATTGGCTTTCTTTGGACAGCATTGCCCTATTACAGGGGGGAAGGAAGGCATCCTATTTGTCACGTTTCCTGATGGTAGGCCAACGGGGGATGCTTTTGTCCTATTTGCTTGTGAGGAGTATGCACAGAATGCACTGAGGAAACACAAAGACTTGCTGGGTAAAAGATACATTGAACTCTTCAGGAGCACGGCAGCTGAAGTTCAGCAGGTGAGTGAAAAAATATTAATTACTTTGAGTTACATACTTATTTTTTTTTTTTTTTGGTGAGGCAATTGGAGTTAAATGACTTGCCCAGAGTCACACAGCTAGGAAGTATTATGTGTCTGAGGCCGAATTTGAACTCAGGTCCTCCTGACCCCAGGGCCGGTGCTCTATCCACTGCGCCACCTAGCTGCCCTGAGTTACATACTTCTTGAGGTGTAATGTGGGAATGGTCATTCTCCCAAAGGCCACTGAAACCCAAGAGATAAAACTAGATGTAAAACCTAAGCCTTTTCATTTAGAGAATTCAATTAAATATGTAAGTGCCTTGAATGAGGAAGGCACTATGCTAGGCCCTGGAGATTCAGAAATTTTTTTTTAAATGATAATTCTTGCCATTAGGGAGCTTACATCTGACTGAGAAGAAAGGACAGACACATAACTAGTCTACACACATTGCATCCTCCAAAGATTGGCTGTTTGTATTCACTTTTTTTTTAAGAATAATAATATTTTAATTTTAATTTATGGAATAAAACAAGCATTTCCATAACATAGTAACAGTAAAAAAAGACGATTGCACATGAAACTACAAATCTACTATGCACAATTTGCTATTCCTTTCAAATATACAGCAAAATTGTTATGTAATTTTTTTCCCTTTTTTTTCTTCCATCACCCTCCCTCCACTTTGCCCTAGAGATGGAATAGGTATGTGTGTGTGTGTGTATTTTTATATTGTTCTATACATACTTCTATTTATCAGTTCTTTCTCTGGATGCAGATAGCATTTTTTCTTCATATGTCCTTTATAGTTAATTTGGGTATTTATAATAGTCAAATAATTCTCTTGCTCAAAGTCGTTCTTAAAACAATATTGCTGTTGCTGTATACAATGTTCTCTTGGTTCTGTGCATTTTGCTCTTCGTTATTTCATGCAAGTCGTTCCATGTTTTTTTCTAAAATCATTGAGCTCATCATTTCTTATAACATGGTAGTATTTTATCACAATCATATGTCACAACTTATTCAGCCATTTCCCAATTGAGGGGCATCACTTTCTTAAAGCTAAGTGGTTTAGAACTGTCTTCAACATAGTCATATGGAACTGTGATCCTCAATGGAAAATTTAGCTAAGGTGATGGAAGTCTTCCACTGGTTCTTTTTCATATTTTGTGAACCCTAGAATAATATTCAGACTGTGCATCTGTCATCCCTTTCTCCTGTTATAAGTTATCATGATGGGTTATTCCTCAATCTACATACATCCTACCAAACTTAAATGGATTTGTGATCTAAGTGCTGAGGGTACTTCCAATGGTATGATTGCAACTTTCATCTTTCATAGGCAATATACCAAGTGTGCTAGAGCCTTCTTCTAGAACTTTTGATGGTACCTGAGTATCACCTAAAGGCTGGCTGATGGTCATCTCTTGCACTTGCTATGTGCTCAACCCTCTTGCTCTTCTGGTCCTCTATCTCTTGGATAATACCCTTTATTCCACTAGTACACAGGTCTTTGTTGGTATGCCCTACCATATCACATGAATTACCTAATTGTGTTTGTTATGTGGCATTGCTGGCTTTTCGTCTTAATGAGAATACTTGAAACAATGTTTATTTTTCTTTTTCAAAGTAACATGTCCTAGAGCAGAGACTATGGCTTTAATACATTTATTATTGTTAGCACTTAGTAAAGTGTGTTGCTCATAGTGATATAAGAAAAAAATTTGGAAAGAGACCCACTACAATTCCCTTACCTTTGGAATACATAAAGATCCTTTATGCATGATTTTTTCCCTTTTTTCCTATCTTGTAATTTACCTCTGATGAGAGACTTCAGTAATTCAACATGCTTTTCTTGGTTCTGATGACAGTTTTTTGTGCCATGGAAAATGGCTGCATGTTAGGAAATGGAAATCTTGAATTATAAATAAATCCTGGTGAAACAAAATAATTGGAGATGTTTATGAGGTCTTAGATTACAAACATTCCAGAATGCCTACCCATTCCAAAGATATAAATGATAGAAGATTATTTAGACCCTAAAGTGAGTGTGTTTTAGGTCTTTAGGAATAAAAAGCTTGGTACGAGACACCAGTAGTCCTGGAGATTTGTTTGTATGATAGAAGAGTAGTAGACTTGGAATCAGAAAACATGGGTTAAAATCGTAGTTTGGACATTTACTATTTGTGTCACTTTGGCCAAGTAAATCCTTTCCCTATCTTGACATTCAGTTTGTTCATCTATAAAATGAGAGGTTTAGGCTAGATGATCTCTAAGGAAGAAGCATGGCATAGTGACTAAACTGAACTTTGAGTCAGGATGACCTGAATTTGAACCTCTTCTCAAATGTTTACTAGCTCTTTGTTGTTGTTCAGTTGTCAGACTCACTGTGACCGCATTTTTCTTGGCAAAGATACTGGAATGGTTTGCCATTTCCTTCTCCAGCTCATTTTACAGATGAGGAAACTGAGGCAAACAAGTGTTAAGTGACTTCCTCAAGATCACACAGCTAGTTAAGTGTCTGAGGCCAGATTTGAACTCAGGAAGATGAGGCTTCCTGACTCCAGGTCTGGCGCTCTGTCCACGGCATCACCTAGCAAGTCAATCTTTTTCAGCCTGATTTCCCATCTGAAAATCAGAATCACGGTAGCACCCGTCTTAAAGGATTGTTAGGAGGGTCAAATGCGAAAACATAGGTAAAGTGTCCTGTTGATCTTAAAGCTTAGTATTAAGAGCAGCTGTTATTATTCCAGCTCTGCCACTAGGATTTTGTAGTGTGTTGCCATATATTATGCGTAACTTGAAAGTAGAGTTTAACTCCTGAAAGCCAAATAAAACTGGTCTCACTCCTTCATAGTCACACCTCTTACCTCTTGTGGGATTACTGGAAAGCTGCTGGGCCTTAGTGTAGGCTTGTGAGTTTTCATAGGACTTTCACAGGAAATAATTCTGACATCAGAGAGATTAACCAAACTACATACGCAACATTCCTTCCCTTATGACAGTCTTCACTGGGAAGTATTTTTCTTACCTGTCCACAATGCCCTACCACCAAGTCATACAGCCCATGGTATTTGTCCTGAGCTAAGATTGACAAGATATGGTAGGATCAATGTATTTAATTATTTAATTGTCATCTTGTCATTTTTATGTTACAATCATAATCAGATATTGCTTATTAATTTCAGCTAGCTAATAATGTAACTCTAGCCTCATTTATATGCTTGTTTAAAGAGAGCTCAAGGTAGATTAGAAAGTAAGAAAAGAAGTATTCTCTTAGGAAAGAGATGTACACATTGTATCCCAGTTCGATATGTCCTGTAATCTGTGTTGGTTTGGGGTTTGAATTGTGATTCTTATATCCAGGAGTCAGATAAGCTTATTGCTACTTCACATAAGTGATTTGATTGTAACCCAAAACTACCTAATAGATTATCCACTACAAATAATTAAGTATTAGTTGAGTATACTGGTAACAGTGTGTGTTGTGTGCTGTCTGAAACAGTGGTTCCCAACCATTTTGAACATAAAAACCCCTTTTTAAACATAAAGTGTCATGGACCCTCCCCTTTCTACACACCCACACACACATGCACACACACCTTGGTAGTACTTCAATTATTATCTATTAAGAAAAATATTTTTTTTGCCTAGATCTGAGATTTCAGTGATCTAGGGAATAATTCCTGATGAGCAAACTCCCTCCACCCATACAGATTAGCAAACACTCTATAATTTGTAGTCTTAAAGGGGAAGAAATAAGCATTTATTAAGCTCCTACAGTGAGTCAAACATGGTGCCTAAGCACTTTACAAATATTATCTCATTTTATCCTCACAAGTCTAGGAGGTAGGTGCTATCATTATCACTATTTTACAGTTGAGGAAACTGAGGCAGATGGATGTTAAATAGCTTGCCAAGGGTCACACAACTAGTAAGTGTCTGAGCCTGCATTTGAACTTGGATCTTCCCAACTCCAAGACCATCACTGTATCCAGTATGATACCCAGCTGTCTTAAAGAGTTGTGACAGAGAACTTGTGACTTACCCCGGCCCACCTAGTATATATCAGAGGTGGGGCAGGAAGAAGAAAGTCCTTCCTAACTCCAAGGCCATCCATTATACGATAGTGCCTCTCTTGATGGAGAAAATATATGATAACAAAAAGCTATGAATTCACTTTTACTTTAGAAATGAAGTTGTATTTTATCCGTCACAATACCATCTGTATACCTCTTTGAAAATTGTACATTAATTAATCAAGTTAATTTTTTAAGAAAACTATTAATAGTATTCATTCTCCAGAAAGTATCTTTACTTAATATGTGATGGCTAATGAGGATGTTATATTAATTCAGACTCTTTGCAATAACTTAATGGCTTCCACAGGTTGAGAACCTGTATAAGTTTATTGTAGTCACTGGTATGGAGTATAAGTTTATTGTAGTCACTGGTAACATGTCTGCTCTCAAATTGAACCCCCTATACAAACCAGAACAAAGATGGGATTGCTCATATGCATGGGTCCCCCTCATCATGAGAATCATGTAAAATAGTTTTTATGATGGGAGGTGGACAGCTAGGTAGAGCAGTGGATACACTGCTGGGCCTGGAGTTAGGAAGACCAGAATTCAAAACTGGCCTCAGACACTTGTATGTCTGTGTGACTCTGGGCAAGTCACTTAATCTCTACTTGCCTCAGTTTCTTAATCTGTAAAATAGGGATAATAATAGTACCTCTTGTGAGGATCAATGAGATAATAGTGGTAAAGTACTTAGCAAAGTGCCTAGCACATAGTGTTATATAAATCTTAGTTAAGGTTGGATACTTAAAGGACCCAGACTTATAAAATGCCTAAGGGACTTTATATAAATTACGAATGAACAAATTCTGAATCCTAAGTCACTATTAGGTTTAAAACTATAAGTTTTCTTTTGGACAGTGGATGTTTGTAGCCCAGTTAAAATGTGTATATATATTAATTGATACATAAACATATATACATATATGTGTGTGTGTGTATATATATATATACACACACACATATATATATGAATGAAATATATAGGAAATGCTAGGAATAGATTTTTTTAAAATCCTTGTTTTAATTACTACGTAATTAATTCAGTATGTTACACAGTATTCCAAAAGTGGATTGTTTTATACAGCTCAGTAGGTGGAAAATTTAGCCACAGACATCTTAGAGTCCTGAGTCTTCTGTGGGCTAAAGAAACCTAAAACAACTTTTGAATATACATTTGGTTGAAGCACAGTATAAACTGACTTTTCATGAAAGGCAGCATTGGAAAAGCAGAAATAATTCTTCAAATTCTTCTTTTCAGTGCACCTGAGGCAGGCTGTATGATCCCAGGCCTTTGGCAGGAGGAACTTTTACTGCTTTTACCTAGAAGGACTACAACACTTTTGAGATGTTCTTTAAGTAACAGAGGAAATTATCTACCTATTGTTCTGAAAGATAAATGCTTTCTTTTCTTTCTTTTGGCTTTGGCATTACAGCATTTAGAACTAGGAGGAATGTTAAAGGTCATTTAGTCCAAATTCTTAATTTTCCATGAAGAAACTGAAAATGGTAGATGTGAAATGATGTCCCTTCAGGCACATGGATAATAAAATGACAAGACTGGTGTCTCAACCTGGATTCTGCCTTCAAATGAAATGTTTTCTCCATTTTGTATTTCACCTTATTGAGAAAGCTGTGTGATATAATGGTTACAGTGCTGGACTTAGTCAGGAGACGTGGGTTTGGGTATCGCCTCACAATCTTAGTAGTGTGATGTAGGTAGGTCATTTGACCTGTCTGAGGTTGGTTTCCTCATCTATATAATTGGCATGATAACACTTGTATTACCTGCCTCAGGAGGTTGTTACGAGGAAAGCTTTGTTTTCTTTTAACTTGTCCTTATTTTGAATTTAACCAGCACTAAAAACAACAACAAAACATTTCTGTAAATTATATTATACTGTGTTAGGTATAGAAATCATAGTGTTACTTTTACTATTGTCCTGCTTGTGTTTCCTTCTGATCTTCCTTCCAGTTTCTTGTGTGTTGTTTTTAATGCTTCAGTGACCCTATTTTCTTTCTTTACTTTTTTTCTCCTATTCTTTCTCTTCCTTTTTTTTTTAATTGAAGGGGAGGAGCGACACTCCATGGATCCTTTTCTTCTTTCTCAGCATTGTTTTAATCTGCATTTCTCTAATTAATAATTTCTGGCATTTTTTTCTTATGGCTATGGATAGCTTGGATTTCTTCCTTTGAGAACTGCTTGTTCATATAGCCTTTGACCATTTATCTGTTAGGCAGTGGGACTTATTCTTATATTTTTGAATCAGAGGAAAGGATTTTGTAAACCTTCTAGTGCTGTTAGTCTGAGTTGTTTCATTAGCTAAATGTTGAATTAGAGATCAATATGGTGTCATTTCTGCCTTTTTATTCACTAATGAACACTTTGGGCCACATCCTTTCTCATTTCAACATCATAGCTGATTCACTTCTCCTCCCTTTATTTCTGCCCTAGATTTATGTCATTATCTTCCGCCCTCTCTTCGTTCCCCAAGCAATTTCTTAGGTTATATTGTTATCATTATGGTTAAGAGGCAACCTGACAGGTTGAGTAAGGGTGGGGCAATGTGTATGGGAGGTTCTTTGGCCCTTTTTCTCCTGTGAGTCAAATAAATATAACTACCTCTGTTGCACTCAGAATTTAAGAGGTAAGAGACTGCTAGACTGATAGTCTCTACTAGTTATTAGCAGTGACTGTAGTAGTGAGTGCCATTACTTTGACCCTCTGGGGAATGAAACCCGGGGGGTGGGATACAAGTCAGAGGTGCCTTCCTTAAGTATGAAATAGTTTTGTATGGACAAGCAGATGAATCCTTTAACTAAAAAAAAAAAAATACATGTAGCAGTCTTGCACTATGTTCCTTCTAGAGTCATCTTCTCAACTGTCCTCATTGACCAAAATTAAATAGAAATTAGAGTCCTCTGGTTCCATCATCTTAAATTCATCTTAAAAAAGAAACCCATTCCATTCTTCCATTTGTGATGACTGTTCGATATAAATTGATCACTATACTGACTTCCCAGTTGCTTTTCAAATGCTGTGATCTGTGTATGGAATTTGTTCTACCCTCTCTATTTCTAAGATAAGATTTCTGCTTCTCTCTTTCATTAGGTTAGAGCCCTTCTTTGGTCAGGGGTTTCTTTTTAGGATATTTACTTTGCTTTTCTTTAGAGGGACGAGGGGGGTAGAAGAGAGGTTTTAAAGCTTCAATGTGTTCTGTAGGACTAAGAATAATTGTATTATCAAGTTACTGTTTGTTTTGAGTCTGTAAAAACTTGTCTTCAATTTATTATCTTAGGTGTTAAAATTTTTTAATGTTTTGACATAAAATAAAGTTTTTATGTATATAGGTATAAATCAATAAGCATTTATTATATGTTTGCTATGTGCCAGGCACCATGCTAAGAGCTGTGGTTATAAATATGTGTAAAACACATCTATATAAGCCTCAAAGGGCTTACATTCTAATTGGGATGCCAATATGTATGTGTATATATGTACATGTATAAAAGAATATACAGAATACATATAAAAATAAATACAAAGTAGTTTTTTCTAGTTAATTAATTGTTAGCATTCATTTAAAAAAAATTTGAGTTCCAAATTCTTTCCATCCTGCTCCTCCTCCACCCATTGAGAAAGCAAGCAATATGATATCAGTTAGATATGTGAGGTCATGCATTTAGCCATGTTGCAAGAAAAAAAAAAAGGAAATAAAAAGCAAGAATCATAAAGTGCAAAAAGTATGCTTCAATCTGCACTCAGAGGTAAATTGCATTTTTCATTATGGGTCCTTTGGAATTTTATTGATCAGTTTAGCTAAGTCTTACATTTGCTATTTATATAATATTCTTCTGGTTCTGCTCACTTCACTTTGCATCTGTTCGTGAAAGTCTTCCCAAATTTTTCTGAAACCATTGTGCCCATCATTTATTGTAGCACAATAGTATTCCATCATAATCATATGCCACAACTTGTTCAGCCATTCCAAAGTTAATGCGTATCCCCTCAATTTCTGATTCTTTGCCACCACAAAAAGAGCTGCTATAAATGTTTTTGTACATATAGGTCCTTTTCTCTTTTCTTCGATCTCTTTGGGATACAGACCCGGTAGTGGTAGTGCTAGATCAAAGAGATGTACAGTTTGACAGCCCTTTAAGTATAGTTCCAAATTGTTCTCCAGAATGGTTGGACCAGTTCACAACTCTACTAGTACATTAGTGTACCTATTTTTCCACATTCCCTCCAGCATTTATCATTTTCCTTTTCTCTCATGTTAGCCAGTCTGACAGGTGTGAACAGTGAGATCCCAGAGTTGTTTTAATTGGCATTTCTCTAATTAATAGTAATTTAGAGAATTTTTCCACATGATTATTAATAGCTTTGATTTCTTCTCCTGAAAATTACCTTTTCATATCTTTTTAAACCATTTATCAGTTGGGGAGTAGCTTTTATTTTTATAAATTTGGCTCAGTTCCTTATATATTTGAGAAAGAAGATCTTTATCAGAAAAACTGGCTATAACATTTTTCCCAGTTTCCTGATTTCCTTCTAATTTTGGTTGCATTGGTTTTGTTTGTAATCAGAATTATCCATATTACTTCCTTTGATCCTATTTATCTCTTGTTTCATTAAAAACTCTTCCTTATCCATAGATTTGACATGTAAAATTTTCCATGCTCCCCTAATTTGTTTATGATATCATCCTTTATGTCTAAATCATGTACCCATTTTGACCTAGCCTTGGTATACTGTCTGAGATTTTGTCTATACCTAGTTTCTGCCGAGCTTCTCTCCAGCTTCTTCGGTAATTTTTTTTTTCCAAATGGTGAGTTTTTAATGCAAGGTTGTTTTGAGGTAGGAGTTTCCTAATAACTGGGGGTGGGGTAGGAAAAGCCTCATACAAAAGTTTTGAAGGATTTCAGGGATTCCTAGAGCTAAAGATAAGAAGGGAATATATTTTAGGCCTGGGTTACAGTCATTATAGGAGTTTGGAAACAAGAGGTCTATCATATATGAGTGTCATAACATCTCATAGGTATATATATCTTAAGATAGTGTCAATAAGAGAAATACATCCTAAGTAGACAGAACTAGAAAGAATACAACTTATGTCAGTTCAACTGAATTATAAGTGGAAATTCATATGATACATTTAATTGGGGAAAAAGAAATGCTCCTTCATGATTATTCTCAATGAAGGAAACAGATATCACCCTTTTGTTTCACAGACATCTGTTTTGCTTCATGTGCAGGTGCTGAATCGGTTTTCTTCTACACCTCTCATTCCACTCCCAACTCCCCCTATCATTCCTGTACTACCTCAGCAATTTGTGACCCCCACCAGTGTCAGAGACTGCATACGTCTAAGAGGGCTTCCTTATGCTGCCACTATTGAGGACATATTGGAATTTTTGGGAGAATTTTCCAGTGCTATTCAAACCCATGGAGTTCATATGGTATTAAATCACCAGGTAAGTTGTTCATTAGAAAAAGTGTAATCTGATAATCTAGCATTGTGAGGGGATCCAACAAGGGCTTTTATAAGCAAGCATCAAAAATACCCATTAACTGCATTTGCAGAGGGTCTAGGGGAAGACCTTACTTAGAAATAAGCTTTGAGAAATGCTATAAAACAGAGCTTCTTAACCTTTATCATTACTTACATTCAGTATTGAAGGAAAGACTTAATTTCAGGTCAAGGCATAGTGAAGACAAAAATGTAATTTTTTTTCTCTTGTAAGGTCACAGATCCCTGAAATCTCATCTGTGGACCCTAGATTAAGAATCCTCTGCTCTAGCACCAGTTACTAATCATTAGTCTTTCATGCAATATGGAGAGGAAATTAAAATTTCATGCTGATCATTTCACCTCACAGTTCAATTTAAAAAGCATATTAGTCAGTCAACCAGCACATACTCTGTGCCAGTTACTGTGCTAAGTAGGAGAATATTAAGAGGCAAAAATATGTTCACTTGCTTCAGGTAGCTCCCATAAAAAAAGGGCAGACAACATGCAGAAAGTTGTGATTACAAGATACATAGTGTAAATAGAAATAATCTTGGAGGGAAGGCACTTTCAGTGGGACTAAACAAAAATAAAATAAAAACCCTTTGCATTCTAAAAGCTTTCATTCTACTCAAGAAGAATTGCACGTAGTGATAGCAATAATGTATTTTATCTGATACACAGATAAATATGCCCAACGTCTGCAAAATAATTTGAAAAGGATTGTTTTATTCTTTATATTTGTATCTCCAGTGAAGTATGTGGCATCAGTCTTCTTGACTGATTAATCTGGGTTAGGGGAAGGACCCTATCAATTTGAAGAATTGGGAAATGCCTCATGTAAGAGGTAGCATTTCAGCAAAGTTTCAAAGGAAGCTAGGGATTCTAAAAAGTATAAGTGAGAAGAGAATGTATTCCAGGCATTGAGGGACAGCCTTGTGCAAAAGCATGAATACGGGAAATGGGAATGTCGTGGGGGGGGGAGGGGGCGGGGTTGGCAAGGAGATGTCAAGTAGGCCAATATGGTTAGAAGGCAGAGACCCTGGAATCACTAAGAGCCAGTTGTATTACAACTGAATACAAGCTGTCACAGATAAGGACTGCTTTTGTTGTGTCCTGATTGAAACATATAGAATATACTGTACTAAGCCCCTAAAGAAGCAAATTAAAATTACATCAGGAGTTGTTAAAAGCCATTTACTACTTAATGATTTTGAAAAGGTTCTATTTTTTTAGTTATGATCTGTTTCCTAAATGAAATCTTTTTCTGGATTTAAATAAGAAGTAATCTCAAAGGGATGGGCAATTCAGAGTAAACTTGCTTCTGTATCCATATGATAATAGTAAATGCTGATGAAATATGACCCCCCCCCCAAAAAAGTTTCCCTTAGATTTACAAATCACTCTTTGCAATAATAATAATAAATTCAAAAGAAAAGCTGGTTTAGTCATATTCTGGTGAAATATTTCACCAATGCAGAACCTAAGAAAAAATTTGTAAACTAAAATAAAAGCGTAATGTCATGTGGTTTCTCATAATTTTTTTTTTAGTTTCAGACTTTTTGACTAAAGTGAACCTTTATGATCTATGACTAATATATCTTCCTATATTTTTATGTTCCAATGATGTTTTCTACTCTGACCCTAGAAACCCCATCTCCTTTGACCTTCGATTGTACCTGTCTTATTAGTTGCTTCTCATCTACTTTTTCCACCCCTCTTTTTAGGTTACTGAGCATTGATAGAGAAAGTCAATTAATTGTTATACTTTATTTAGCATGAATCTATTTAGCATGAATTTATATCTAAATTTATATGGTTCCTTTATATTGTGCTCTTTCTGCCCCCATTTTTGGTAAATGATATTTTCCCTTCTTGACTGAGATAAAACCATTCCATCTCAATTCTACTTTCATCCTTTCATCTTAAAATCTTTTCCACTATTCTTAACTCCTATCCTTCTGCCTCAGAAATATCCCACTTAAGGCTAAACTACTGTCTTTACATGAAGACTTGAATATACCCCCTTTGCTTCTTCATCTTCAATCTCATCTTCAGTGGCAACTTCTTTTCTACCTACAAACATATTCAGATATAGATGAAGAACACATTTATTAAGTGCTTAATACGTACCAGGCACTATGCTAAGCACAGGGGATATTAAAAAAGAAAGAAAGAAAGAAAATGAAATAGTCCTATTCTCAAAGTTCTAATAGGAGGAGACAAGCATAAAGTGGATCTGGAAAGTGGGAAGAGAGGATTGGGTAGAAAGGAAAGAGTGTACCCTTATGGGGCCTAGACAGCTAGTATGGAGATGGAGCAGACTGGAGAGTAAGCCAGATATGGTCTGTGAGTGTATCATATGATTATGTTTTAGGTTTTAAGTTTTCTTTTCTCCTACTACTACCTCAAGGTACTGCCTTTTATCCTTCCTTTCTTGCCAAACTTTTTGGAATACATCTATACTACCTGTCTGCCTCCACTTCTGCTTGCTTTAGCTTGTGTCTTACAAATGCTACAGAGTTGTCAGAGAGGATTAGCACTAATAAAAGACCTTTAAAATGCATCCGGGTAAATTGGATATAGATTACTGCCCGCAGAACCAGGAACACTTGGATTGAGTCCTGCCTCTGACATGTGCTGGCTGTGTGATCCTGGGTGAGTCTTACTGAGTGCTCCAGGCCAGTCTCTTAAGACTTGTAAGAAAAAATAAATAAAATTAAAAAAAAAAAGATTTGTAAGTTGCAGAGAAGATGCTACTCTGGCGAGTGGTAGGATGATGGATTATAATTTTCCTCCTCATATATCCTCATTTTCAGTCAAACTGGACTACTAACTTAACATTCCATCTTGTATCCCACTTATCCTGTCCTCTTAATATTCTTTGTTTGCTTCAAAGAATAGTTTGAGTGCTTTCTTTGATTTTCTCTGACCTTTTCCAATTATTTTTGTTCTCCCTCTCTCTCAAAAATACTTTAAATAATTTTGTACGTGTTTTTTTGTGTACATGTTGTATTCCCATATTCATGCTTTTGCACAAGGCTGTCCCTCAATGCCTGGAATACAATCTCTTCTCACTTATATCTTTTAGAATCCCTAGCTTCCTTTGAAACTCTGCTGAAATGCTACCTCCTATATGAGGCATTTCCTAATTCCTGTCCTTCCCTTAACCCAGATTAATCAGTCAAGAAGCCTACTATGTGCCACATATTTCACTGGATTACAAATATAAAGAATAAAACAATCCCTTTCAAATTATTTTGTATATGTTGGGCTTAATTATCTGTGTATCAGATAAAATATATATTGGTATCGCTATGTGCAATTCTTCTTGATTGTATTCCACAATCAGTAGCATAGCAGTTCTTAACATGTCATGAATACCTTTCATAACCTAGTGAAGCCTTTGGATTCCTTCTTAGAATAATGTTTTTAAATGTAAAATATATAGGATTTTTAAAATATTATACTGAAATAGTTATCAAAATATTTTTTTCAAAAGAAGCTCATGAACCCAAGGTTAAGAAGCTCAGCTCTAGTGGAATGGAAAGTAACCCATTTGGGGCAGGGAGTCTGGTTTTTCAGTTCTGTTTTCAGTTATTATGAAGAGCCTTATATTAGGTGCTTCATAAATGATTATTGAATTGTAAATCATGTAAATGAAACTAACATGCCAAAGAAAGAGGTGAAGATACTCATGAAAATAATTATGATTCTGGTGCTTAATTTATTAATTTACTAGGAATAGTATCATCAATTTTAAACCCTAGTTTGAATCTGGATCATATTTTTTCACCATATATTTAGTGTTTAGTAATAGAAGTGAAGTTTCTGTACTCAAATTAACAAGCATTTTGTAAACGTCTAATATGTGCTATGCACTGTACTAAGTGCTGGAGTTACAAAGAAAGGTGGAAACAGTCTTTTCTCTTAAGGAGCTCACAGTTCAATGGGGGAGAAAGCTTGCAAACAACTATGTGCCAACAGGTTTTATAGCAGATAAATTGGAGATAATCTCAGAGGGAAGGTACGAGTACTAAGATGGATCGGGAAAGGTTGCTTGATGAAGGTGGGATTTTTTAGCTGTGACTGGAATGAATCCAAAAATGTCAGGAAGTAAAGATATAGAGGGAGAGAATTCCAAGCATGGAGGACAGCCAGTGAAAATGCATGGAGGTAGGAGATGGTGTGTCACATCCAAGGAATAGTAAGGAGGTCAGTGTCACTAGATCACAGAATATGTGGAGGTGAGTAGAGTGTAAGAAAACTGGAAAGATAGGAATATGGTCCAGGTTATGAGGGGCTGTATAAGCAGGGGGTTATATTTGATCCTGGAAGTAATAAGGAGCCACTGGAGTTTATTGACCAGAGGGGTGACAAGGTCAGACCTGCATTTGAGGATGATCAGTTTGACAGCTGAGTCGAAGATGACTGGAGTAGGGAAAGACTTGAGGCAAAGCGAAAACCAGAACCAGAAAATGAATCAAAAAGCTATTAAAGTTGGCCAGATATAAAGTGATTAAGCCTGAACCAGAGTGGTGGCAGTGTCAAAGTAGAGAAGGAGACACATGATGACTTACTTATTTTAAAATATGCAGCAAACTCGGCAAAAAGTCTTTAGGGTGTTCGTATAAACAGAAATCAACATGAGTTCTGGCTGTTTGTGTTAACAGAATAGTGCTGTTAAGAGAGTGGTCTGGTGAGTGAAATTGTCGAATGTATAATTATGCTGGTAAAAAATGCGGAGACATGACTCATGGTGATTTGTCACATGAATAATTATGTTTCTTACTTTCGCATTGCCACACAGATCTTTCTTGGAATTTTACTTCAAAACTCTCTAGTGTGAGGATTTTAAATGTTACTAATGTCTCTCAGAGCCACTTAAAGTTAGTTTTATTGTGTCTCTGATTTCTTCTGAAACAGTTGTCCAAAATGATTATTTTCAGGCAGTAGGTTTCAGTA